TCTATACCAGGTCTTATGTACATATTATAGAGGCTGGCCCTAACGTTGACGGTTTTAAAATTCCTAAGAATAAATTCGGTAGTTCGGCGGGCTTTCGAGACAATCAAGGCGGAGTGCTCAGACAGATGAAGACTATTAGAGTACGATATGCTCAGCATCTTAATAATTCCGAGCACATTAATGTCATGACCACCTATCCTTAGTTCACGCCGATGATCGTCACCAACAACCATAACGGAGCATTTGTACCAAGAATGGGGATGGCGACATCTGCAGCAACCGCTGGACGAAGGTCTAAAGATCCCTCTTTATGATGTCAAATATCATGCTGCGATTTGTCGGCTTATATTGATAGGCAACTTTTAAATTGGCAACGTACATAAAGGGCCTAACATACTGAAAACAATTAGGATCAGATTGTAGCATATTATCAAAGAAAGAGATTTAGCAGGTAACGCATGATCTTTTTTCGAGAACCCACGTTAAATCGCATTAAGTAGGCTGTTCTGTATTATGTGAGGCATCATCTTGTCTTTGATCAAGGTCTCTAAGACCTTTGATGCTGAAGGAAGCGCATTTCCTGGACTAAGGTCGTCAACTAACGTCGATGGGTTGGGCTTGGATACATGCAGTATGTGCGATTCCTTCTATAAAATATGAAAAGTTTCGCTTTCAAGAGCAAAAGTAAATATCTTACACAGAAGAGACAGCAAAATATCATTCGCTTCGGCTTTTAGAAGTCTGATTGGGACACCGTCTGGTCCTGGACTATGAGATTGACGAAATTATAGAGTGGCTATGGAACTGTTGTTTTGGCATCTAGCAGGATCAGCCTCGTGAACAGAAACCGATTGGAAGACACTACAGATCCCGTATGACGTGGGGTGTAATAAAGAATTCTACGTGCGTTTGCTTCTTATTATTTTTGAGACCTTCTAACATCCTATTTAATGTTATCATGTCGTTGTTTTTAGTCGTCTTAAGGTTCCCCATTCCAAGTTATTCGAAAACACTAAAAGTCGTTGACGAACTTTCACCGATCACCTCTTGCGCGTCTCAATTGCCTCTGATCCACGTCCTCAACACCCAACACACCATTATGTTCAAATTTCCAAAGAAAGTTCTGCACATATCAGCCTCTTGGGACATCTTCGGACCTGATGTAACAACAAACCTCAAAGTCGTACTACTGCCTCCGCAAGCACCCTTTGTAGTTATCTCTATACCAAATTACACGGTCACTCACTGACTTGCGCTGCTGTCGACAGCGTCTACTTAAAGCACCCACATCGTCCCTGTCGCAAACCTCACGGAACCTGTGACGATGATGACTACCACCTTTCAGACTATTGCCGCAGATTTCAACACCCCTGACGTCCAACCGGACACTAGTCTCCCTACAACGGCGCAAAACATCGAAAGTATGTTCTTGTCCATAAATGATCCGCACTGCGCTCACACCTTCACCTCACACTTCTGCGAGTCCTTCGCGCTGATACTGGCATACCAGCACCAGCTCTGATATTTACGTGTTGCATATACCTCCGTCCACACACTGTCCA